CCCATTATTGACAGTTAAATAGCTTGAAGTACCATTGTGTTGAAAATTTTGCTTTCTGCCTGACAAATAATTAGAAAACCATCCAATAGTATGATATGAGAAAACAATATCTGAGAGCTTATGGCATGATGTCATGATGACTCAACCATAGACGAAAAGAAGAATTAAGATTTTACTATTTTGAAATGTACACAATCTTTTGTTGTGACTTAACCTTTTTTCTTACTGTTGTTAAAGAAAAAAAATAAAAACATAAAAAATAAAAAAGTTTGTGGTATAAAATCCAAACAGAATTCAGTGACGTGAAAATAATTGTCTATATTTGTGCAATTAAAAAACAAGCCCATATTTAAACACTGTGCATTAAGTAACATGATGTAAATTAGGTCAACAACAGTCTGAAGTTTAAAAAAAAAAATCTAACAAGATTAAATTCCAGATAATTGTCCTGTTCATTGTTTGAGATTGGCAAGGTGAAATGACTTAATGCAACACGAGGCGCATATCTTTATTGATACATTAATCTTCATTAGATAATTATCAGGGCGGCACGGTGGCTCAGTTGGTAAAGCTGTTGCCTCTCATCAAGAAGGTTGCTGGAACAAATCCCAGCTAGGGACCTTTCTGGGTGGAGTTTACATGTTCTCTCTGTGTATGCGTGGGTTTTCTCCGGGTACTCCAGTTTCCTCCCACAGACCAAAAAAATGCATGTTAGGCTGATTGGTTACTCTAAATTGTCCTTAGGTGAGAGAGAGAGTGAATGGTCGTCTCGTTTGTCTCTATGTGTCCCTATGATGGACTGAGACCTGTCCAGGTATTCCTGTGATGGACAGGATACCTGTCCAGGTGTACCCCGCCTCTCACAGTGACTGCTGGATATGGGCACCAGTAACCCCCGAAACCCAGAAAGGCAGAAGTGGGCAAAGATGATGGATGGATATTTATCATCCACATTGGGAAGAGCTCCCAAAAGGTTTAAACCTGATGATCAATTTATTAATTTGACTTTAGGATTTTATTGTTCTCATCACTCTCTCCTTCTCTTTGAGGTCACCAGGTCATGTGTTGCCATGGAAGCGCGCCCATGAGCAGTGCTGACAAGTAACTTTTCAATCAGCCTCATTGGGAAAATCCACACAGACTGAGAGGGAGGGGAGATGTTCTGGATTCTGGTTGGGTTTAGATTGTTTAGATTTAAATTAAAACTGAATTTAAATATGTAAATGTTTGTGTTCTAGAGATTTAATTTAGTCAAGTGTATTTATTATCATATGGAAAATGTAAATTGCTCCACAACTCTTTAATGGTACAGGCTAATGGTTTAAAAGCTGGGTGGTTTAAAACAGGGGGGGACTATTTCTTATGGGTGAGGAAGGTGGAAACCATGTCCTGCTGGGAAGCTCCTCTAAGGTTTTGACTCTGCCCTCAAGCCTTGCATGCGATCACCAGACAAAACAAGACTGTGAAACAGTGGCTGGTTTTTAAAGTGAACTCTAACAAACGGTTCAGGGGGTGTAAAGAACGATAAAACAAAATATCAGGGAGTTATGTCCTTTAAAGAATGCAGTTAGAGACACATGCATTGGAATGTGTATTATTGGGATATTAGGGGAAAATATACAGAATAAAAACAATAATTCAAACTAATGTCACTAATAAAACAACAGACATTGAACTGATGACAGTTAAAGTTTCAAAGACGTTTCTCCACATGTCTGTGCTACAACAAACACAAATGCAATGAGTACAACTAGGTTTGTACTTGATTTGGAGTAAGACATTACCAACATTTAGCTAAACGAGTATTTTAACCCCTATAATTCAGATTAGCCTGGAAGGATGTCGTGAATATTTTAAGAGTTGAAGATGTCTAATAATTTATTTAAAAATGAACTAAGAAATGACACCAGTGTTGTTATGAAGAGCTGACAGAGGTGGTTGAATATGCAGATTACATCAAGAGAGATGAACGACAGTTGGCAAACCTAATCTTCAATCAAATATTAAACAGAAAATTTACCTCCAGGAAAGGAAAAAGAACAAAGATGAAAAACTTTGTGTCCAATTAGAATCTGGGGCATGTGAAGGTTGTGCTACTTTTAATTGTATACAGGATTTAAATGATTTGCAAACTCGTTTATTTACATTTCACAGCATCCTTAGTTTTGTCGAGGCCGAGTCGTAAACAAAATGTAGCATAAAAAATAAAGATTCCACAGGAAGCAAAAAGTACAGAACATCTCAGATGGGTCAAAGCGCCGTTGACCTTTGCAAAGGTTTTCTTGGTATTCTGAGCAGCGGTGACAAAAAACCATCAGTCTGTCAGATTTTATGTCTAGATTTGAATCTATCTCTGAGTTAATCGATACAGATTCAAATCAGTTTGATGCTACAACAGGTATGACTGCTCCATCCTTTCCCAGCTCTTGAAACTTCTCAAGATCACTGAAAACCCCATAATGAATGGTGACAACTTAAAATAAATGTTCTGCAGCGTGAGGCATTCTGGGTTGCCTGCAAAGAAATGGTGTGACGGAGCAACAAAGACAAATGTCCTTCTGCAGATAATCAATAACTTTTTGATTAGATTCTGTAATTCTCCCAAAAAAAATATTGAGATTATCACTAAAATGTGTGAAAGCATGTGAATAGTTCCTCTGTTTGTAGCCCAGTCAAGGTTTTACCAGTTTGTACACTGAAGCACCGCATGAGCTCCACGTGAGACCTGCAGGTCTGCTTTAGGATCTGACAAATACTTTCTAAATGATTCAATACGTTTTCAGGTGAGGTCTCATTGGAAAAAGACCATTTGTCAATGAGATCCCACACACAGCCTCATTTTAAAAATTAAGAAAATATGAAAGACAAGTCGATAATCTATAGCAGTCTGGAGCCAATTTGCAGGGTGGAAAGGTGAATTAAATATTTGAGAGATTTGCCATTGGGAAATATTGTTTCCATGAAGAACCAACAACAATGAGTTATGCAACAGGAATTTAACCTCTGCTGTTAATATCATTTTTCTTATAACAGCAACATTTTCAGTGTATAATTCCACAATAATGGCACCAATTTCATTAAAATCATCTAAAATTGTTTAAAAAAACATTTTTTTTGTATATGTACTGTGTAAGAGTTGTCAACGTTCCAAATGCAGCTGAAATATGAGAACGTGATAAATTCTCCAACCTGCAGTGTTCAAATAAAACATTTAAAGAAAGTAACAAAGACTTTCTGAAGAGCGTCTTCAAGCAAAGCTTATCTTCTCATCATGCTTCCTGTCACTGACCTGTCAAGTGGATCGCAGAGGAGGTAGGTGGTCAGGCGCCTGTGTGGCTCCTTTGAGTTCCTCGACGAGCTGAAAGTGACAGAAGAGCACCCTGGAAAGAACATCTGCTCTAGAGTCTGTATGTGCTGCAGACTGACTTGTTGTTCAGACAATTATTGTTCAGCACAGACCAGATAAAGATGAAGTAAATGACGACTGCAAACGCTCCAACTCCACATTTGTGTGTTTTAAACACGACTTGGAAAAATAAATGGGAGTCTGCAAAACATCTGTGGGTCCTTTCGATGTAGTAGAGGTCTTGTGGAGCATTGGAGTTTAAGAAACTTGTGCTGGCTTTTGGGACAAGAGCTCACTTACTAATATATTTATCAAGAGCTGACATCCTGAGGGTAGACAGAGACAAAACTTGTTTTCATGCTACCTAGAAGTTATTTTATTATAGCTAAGGTCCTCAGGGGAGGAGGAAGCCATGTAAACTCGTGGAGCAGACGCAGGACACAATAACATGTGGAAAACTGATCTGTGAACGAGGCTGACACAAAAGCACCACATATGACACATGACACACCCATCAACAAACTGTTACACAGGAATACAGGCGTGGATAAACAAAGGCGTTGTGTATTACCTTTAATTTGTTCCATTGACTCTGAGCTGGGGTGATGAAAAGTGTACAAGACAATCCGTTTAGTGATGATGCATACGTGTATGAACTTTGGTTAGATTATCTTATTAGATTTTCAGATCTATAAATGTAAATGAGTCCTCGAGGCTCAATGGGATTAACCTGTGTAAATAAAGGTTGAACGAATCTTGAGGTCAGAAGTTATCCGAGTGGAAAAGAGGAAGTTTATGAGACTATATCAGAGTTTGTCCTCCTTTTGACATGCGTGAAGTGAGTTGCTAAAGATGTAAGGAGTTAGTAATTTTAGGCAGCAGCTCTACCAGTTGTGCCACCGTGCTGAGATATATATATATATATATATATATATATATATA